CAGAGAGACAGAGAGACAGAGAGACAGAGAGACAGAGAGACAGAGAGACAGAGAGACAGAGAGACAGAGAGAGAACAGATATAAGCAAATGTATTTCACAAAGAGTAAAAAAACTCGTCCTGTACACAGTATTTCTTGCGTGCTTTGAGACGTGTGATCTAGACGTGGGTTTTTTGCTGTGTAGCGTGGCTGTGGCCGTACGACGAGACAAAGCGTAAGTGTGCGCGCAGCTTTTCCACCGCTCTGCAACTGATGCAGCTCTACCCCGATATGACGTTCGCTTGTTCACAGGTGAGTCGCGTCTCCCTGGCGACGGTACGTGTTGTACAATTGGTGAATACTTGGAACGATCATAGCAAGAGAGAAGTATAGGAGTGAAGAGTCTATATGAGAGAGAAATAGTGCACACATGTATTAGATACCATAACTCTACTATCTTGTAGCTAGTATATCTTCAGTGGTTCAGTTTTGACGGATGCTGTGGAACGTGTCGTAACAAACCGCTCCATCTCCGTAGAGAATGTCTCCGACTACGTTACTGATGAAAAATACCGCCGCTTACATTTGACCATTTGTTTGCAGGCCCAGCAGTTGAAGTGGGTGAAGGAAAACTATCCAGAGCTGTTTGTGAAGCTGCAGGAAGCATCAAGCATGGGCGGAAGGTTCCTCACTGTTGGGGGAACCTGGATCGAGATGGTGCGTGAGCCTCTAACTTTCTTAAGCATCGTAGCTTCTGAGCGAGTGAATGGAAAGTCCGTGGTTTTCGCCTGCTGATGGCTTGTGTGTGCTTATTCCTTTTAGCCTGGGATTTTACTGCCATACAATCACATTTAAACACATAACTGTATGATATATATAAAATGTATGTAACTAATACAACCTTGAGTCATCTCTGGGCTGTGTAACCAAACCAACGGCGGGTGACATGACTTCTACGGTGTACCGACTTCAATCGTCCAGTCTGTGGTGAGCAAGAAACACCAGCGCCAGCTGTGAACTGTGAACGGGATGTAATTGTGTGTGTTCTTGTGTCAGGATGGGAACGTACCGAGCGGGGAGTCGTTCATCAGGCAGTTTGCGATGGGACAGAAGTTCTTCGAGAAAGAGTTTGGCAAGAAATGCACTGTGGTGAGTGAACAAATCTGTTTTTGCATTATCGCTGCAGAGTAATTTGGCACATTAAGACTTCTCTAACTAGACAGAACTCAGTGCAACCCTTGTATCCTATGGCATGCTGCTTAAGACATGGCTTAAATATGTGTGTGCATGCGTGTGCGTGCGTGCATGCGTGGTCTCTGTAAAGTAATTTTCCACGTCTTCTTTTGTGACAGTCGCATGCCTGTAGTCTTTTGACCCCGTATCTAGCTGGTGCCGTAATGCACGGTAGGCTCACCAAATGGCGCCACCTGTCTCATGTGCGTCGTTTTGCGTCTGCCGCAGTTCTGGTTGCCGGATACGTTCGGCTACTCCGCTCAGTTGCCGCAGATTGTGAGGCTGGCTGGGATCAAGAACTTCCTTTCTCAGAAAATGAGCTGGAATCTGGTGAACACGTTCCCTGTAAGTAGTGAGGGTACGCGGGTAGTGTGAAAGTGAGGAGAAAGCTGAGCATGGAGTCCGCAGAGTGTGATTTACATTTACCGATTTACGGTAACCCTCGCATGCCTGACGCAATTTCGTATTTCTAGCATTGTAAAATAACCAGTATCTGCTATTCGGTGGGTACGTGCATTGCTCTGCGTGACATAATGAAGACCATTAACCATGAACAGTCTTGAAGTGGTTTACATCTCCTGGTGACTGTTACCAACTCTAGATTACCATCGGTAATCTCAGTCTTCTGCCACCTCATCCTGAGCTAATATTCTGTATGACCTCGAATGACCTGATGCTAAATCCACCTGCGTTGATGTCTATCATCTGTTCGCCCTTGATCAGCTCTAGATCTGTGGTTGTTGATCACAGAATAACAGTTTTTACTGGGAGGGGATTGATGGCTCAAGGGTGCTGACTCACTTCCCACCAGCCGATACTTACGTGGCAGAAGCATACCCTAGAGAGGTGAGCAAGCTGTGGTTTGACTTTGTAAAAGTGGGAAAAATGTTTCATGGCTGAGCGAAAAATACTACCTTTACAGATTCTTTTAAACGGTTGTAGTTTTAAAAATGCAAGTTTTCAACGCATATTTTCGAAAGAATCACTGATTTCGTTTTGGTTTACGTTTACGGGATTACCGAAGTTTTCTGTTGTTACCTTGAAGGTGGTCAAGTGCAGTGAGAATAACAAGGATAAAGGCAGAGCCGACTGCAGCATCTTGCTTTATGGTTTTGGTGATGGAGGAGGCGGACCCACGTAAGTGTTTAAATGTTGGATACACAATGCATGGTTCTCCCCAGGCCTTTAAAGTGATTACGTCACCGAAAATAGTAAAAAAATAACACTTTTTCACAAAATATAAT